AAATTAGGGTTTATTCGAATTTGGGGCTAAAGGAAGATTGAGCTTTCTTCTTTCTGATTATCCATTTCCGTAAAAGAGAAAAGAGAAAAGAGTCTATTTTGACCATTATAGCTTTGTGAATATTTTTAATATGACTCCACTAATAATATAACGCCACGTGTCCAGAATCGGATCGTGATTTATGGTAAGTGCTTTGTTAATATGTTAAAAATGGCATTAAAGAAAAATGAAATTGTATACATACGAATATAATTTTGTTATCAAGAAACAATAAGAAGAAACAAACTTTTTATAAACTCCAAATTCCATGATTTGAAATTAGCTTGTGATCCGTTAGAAAATATGTCGAGTGTGCTACTCCACGGTAACACTTTTTTTGTCTTTGTTAATCAAATAGAAATAAGATGTGATGCTAAGAGTCGCCGTGGCTAAGGCGGTTCCACTCAAGCCATGGTACTCATCGTACTTGTTATAGACAACAGCCACGAGAAGCGACACGACCGGCCATGTACAGACACTGATCACGGTCGAGAACACGGGAGATACAACGAGCACGAGTCCAACGATCCCGACCCAGTAGACCTGCCACGCGACAGCTTGACCTACCATAGTCCTCACGTAAGCCATCTCTCCCTTCAAGAACCCATCCATATGTCCCTTTAGATCATGATTCCCACCGGAGATGAAAAGAGCTACGAGTAAGAAGATGGTTGCGAAGAAAGACGTGAAGATGACCAACTCGAGTACCACGACGAAATTGGGTTGTTTCATCTTGGTGGGTTCGTTGCAAATGGAGATAAGATCCTTGAATATGATTCTGATCATGCATAGGAGTAACGAGAAAAATATGGCAGCACAAAAAGCTGACCACATGCTCCGGTAGTTGTATTTCTTCCCGTTGGAGATGGGTGACCCGGCAGAGAAAGTGTTGAGAGTGAAAGCTCCGGTGAGAATGGCGAAGATGAGAGATATAATCATCCATCGATTGGATTTGATTTTGTTGAATATGATTGAGAAAACCAGTGTGAGTAAGAGCTGTGTCGTGTAGATGAGAGTGAATCCTCTAAAGGGTATATTGTGTTTACTGTTTGAGTAATATGCTTGAAAAAACATGAATATGTCAATAACGGGATAAATTATATATGGCTAGTTCTATGAGGGAGGTTCCTTTGGTGGTAATGAGAAGTTGGTTCTTTTTCTTGGAAGAGAGGAGGAAGATGAGGAAAGGAAGAACTAGGATAGGGAATCCGACGAATTGGAGGAGGGATTGAGTCCATATGCCATAGGGGCGGCTCTGGCTTCTGTGGAGGAAATAATAGTTCTCTAGGAGTCTGACAATAGATTGACCGGTTACAGCCAAGATGATGCAGAGGAGGATGGTAAGCCATTTGCCGCGGCTCCGGTTCCAGTTCTTGGTTTGGTTGACCGGGGTAGGGGTGTGCTCGATATCAAGCGGTATTTGGACAAATTTTTCTGCAAAGGAGAGACAATGTTATGATTTGCAAAACATATATTGATTAGGGAATGATAAAGAAGAGTCAGCTTACCCAGTGGATTTGACTGCATTGGTTGATTATACCCCATGATTGATATCTGAGTTGTGAGAAAAGTTGGAAGCAAACGATCTAAGATGTGTTCTTTTAATATGATTTTTGAGGAATCTAAGGAACTGGAGTTTGTTTTTATTATCAATTTGGTGGTGGACTTTTGACGGAGTAAATGGTTTTTTTTTTCCTACTTGATCAAATGGGGGGTTTAGTTTAATATTTAGAGACAATTAAGTATTTTTAATACCTTATATCATTATTATTTTATTGGGGTTTTTGTTAACGAATTGAAACACTCAATTGTTTGCAAATGGTAACTAAAATCCATTCGCTCAAATGGACAAATCCTTACTTCGTCAAAGTCCACCTCTAAGCACATTGCTTGGTAATACATATTAAATACCAACACCGGTTTCTTGAATTTCCCAAAAACATAATCAGCGAACACTTCTTAAATCATTCGCTTCTAAAAAATTTTAAATTAGCTAAATCTTTTATTGAATTAGCTTAATTTATAATACAAATATTTACGATAGATTCATAATCTCTCGATTGGAAAAAAATAAATAAAATTCAACTTTTTAATTTAAAAGTCAAATCATAGAATAATACGAACACATTGGTATCAGAAACAATAAAAGGAACAAACATTTTTTCTTCTAGAAGCTCCAACTTCCATGACCTAGCTCGTAGCCTCGTCACTCTTAATTATTCTCTTTGTAAATCAAATAGAAATAAGACGCTACGCTGAGTGTGGCCATGGCTAAGGCCGTTCCACTCAAGACATGGTACTCTTGGTACTTGTTATAAACCAAACCTATCATAAGCGACACGACCGGCCACGTACAGACACTGATCACGGTCGAGAACACGGGCGAGACAACGAACACGAGCCCAACGATCCCGACCCAGTAGACCTGCCACGCAACAGCTTGACCTACCATAGTTCTCACGTAAGCCATCTCTCCCTTCAAGAAGCCATCCATATGTTTCTTCAGATCATGATTCTCGCCGGAGATGAAAACACCTGCGACTAAGACGATGGTTGCGAAAAAAGACATGACGATGAGCAACTCAAATACGGCGACGAAACTTGGTTGTTTCCTGTTGGTGGGTTCGTTGCAAACGGAGATAAGATCTTCAAATATGTATCTCATGTAGCAGACGAGTAAGGAGAAAAAGATGGCCGCGCAAAAAGGGGTCCACATTCTTGTGTAGTTGGGTTTCTTCCCATTGTAGATAGGTGACCCCGCGGAGAAAGTGTAGAGGGTGAAAGCTCCGGTGAGGATGGCGAGGATGAGAGAGACGATCATCGATCTGTTTAATTTGATTTTGTTGATGAAGATTGAGAAAACTGGTGTGAATAAGAGTTGTGTCGTGTAGATGAGAGTGAAGACCCTAAAGGGTATACGGTGTTTACTGTTTGAGCAAATTGCTTGAGAAAACATGTAGCATATGATAATAAAGTATTTTAAGGCTCGATTTATGCGGGAGATTGTAGTGGTGGTAATGATAAGTAGGTTCTTTTTCTTGGAAGAGAGGAGGAAGATAATGAAAGGGAGGATTAAGAGAGGAAATCCGACGACTTGGAGGAGGGATTGAGTCCATATGCCGTAGCCGCGGCTCCGGTCTCTGTGGAGGAAGTAGTAGTTCTCGAGGAGTCTAGCGATGCATTGACCTGTTACGGCCAAGATGATGCATATGATGATGGTAAGCCACTTGTTGGGTCTCTGGTTCGAGTCGCTGGTTTGGTTGACTGAGTTGTGCTCGATATCTAGCGGTATTTGCACAAATTTTTCTGCAAAGGACAAACAGAAAATCATGGATTACACGAGAAATTTGATTAGTGAATGAAACAGAGGAATCGGCGTACCTTGTGAATTGGACTGCATTGGCTGATTATACCCCATGATTGATATATGAGTTGTGAGAGAGCTTTGAAGCAAATGATCCAAGATATGTGTTATTGGATTATGTTTTTGGGAAATCCAGGAAATTAGTGTTTTTATTTATTACCAAGGAATGTGTTCGGAGGTGGACTTTTGACGAAGTAATGCTCTTTTTGCCTACTTGACCAAATGGGCTTCAAGTTACTATTTGAGACAAATTGAGTATATTAACTTAACATTAGTATGACATATTCATAGAAGTAAATTAAAGAGACCAAGTATAGATAATATATGAAATGACTTTGTCATTCAAAGTAAAAGAGACCGAGTATGTTTTTTGCTAGTTCTTTTTCCGACGATATATAGAAGTATTCAGAGTAGGCCCTGATATTTTAAAGGCCTCAAGCAGTTTTTTTTTTTTGCCTTTTAGCCATTAAATAAAATAAAAAAAGTCTTTGTCAAGTATGAACCCACGACCAGAGAGGTTTATACAGAGAGACTTGACCAACAAAGCTACTAACAATTTTGTCAAAATAAATGGCCCCTAAATTAATAAACTCTCTCCCGGCCCCAAGCACAAGCTTCACCAGCTTCTAGTCAGAGCCGGCTCTGGAAGTATTCAACTTTCTACTTTTCGGAATTCCAGGAAGGCAATCATTTCTATGGTTAAGTAACATAACAACTCACGAAGATAATATTTATTGCAAAGCACTTCTTAATTCTTCATGTAAAAGAAAACTACAAAATGTATGTTTGGAATTGAGGAGATATAAGCTATAGGGGAAAAAAATATCAAATATATATAGAGATCCAAGTTTAAGACTTTAAATGTTTAGTGGAATTGTTTGGAAGTGAAGGAGCAAATTAATAAGAAGTAATTATGTTGTGTATTTGGATTATTAATCGATGTTGTGTTTTCGGATGATTGATCTTTTGGAAAATCAAGAAACTAAACTGGTGTTTGTATTATAGTTGTTCTAACTACTAACGACCAAAACTTAGTAATGCACACATTCATAAGAGTTTTGGATATAAAACAGGAAATGACATTACTTAAATAAGTGGACAACACAAATAAATAAGCAACATATTACATATCTATTGAGAGAAAACAATTATAGCGGTCTCTTTTCTCTTCTTCTTTTGCTCCTTTCTGGTTTGAACGTCGAAGACTTGTCCAAAAACTCCAAATAGTAAAGGAAGTATGAGTTATGACAATGTATAGCTTTTTTT